CATTCCATTCCATTCCATTCCATTCCATTCCATTCCATTCCATTCCATTCCATTCCATTCCATTCCACTCCATTCCACTCCATTCCACTCCACTCCACTCCACTCCACTCCACTCCACTCCACTCCACTCCACTCCACTCCACTCTCCACTCCACTCCACTCTATTCCACTTCATTCCATTATCTGTCTATCTATCTATCTATCTATCTATCTATCTATCTATCTATCTATCTATTTGTGGTACCAGGGATTGAACTTAGAACCTTGCACTTGCCAGGCAAGTGCTTATTGTATTGAGCTATCTTCCTGGCCAATTTAATTTTATTTTGAAGAGTAAAAATAGCTTCTCTGCCTTTTGGCTAAGATCAAGTGAAGAGTAAAAACAAGCAAAAGCAAATAGAAAAAAAAGAGAAACAGTGTAACACGGCAACACATATGTTACAGATTTTCAAAATAGGAATAGCTAATTAGCAATGGTTGTTATATTATCTATTTTTATTGTCTAATCTATTGCTGGGATTAACAGATACAGTTACACAAGATTGGATAAATAATTGAATTTTAACACTTGCTTTCAAAAAATCTTAATTTTTTCCCTTGTGTTCTTAAAAATTATTTTAAAGAGTATAATAATTGATAAGACATTAGAAAGTGCACATTTAGAAGACCAAGATGAAAGGTATCAGTCATGGAGTTTGTATTACACATTCCTGTCCTCGATGTAGTTGCTTAGATTGTAGGTATCAATGTACAGAGTTAGTCAAGATGAGAATTCTAAATATTAACTGCTATTTTCAATAAATGGATGGAAATTATGTGTACACTCATCTCAGCCATCTTGTATATATACTTGCATGTTTCCCCTGCTTCATTTTTCCTATCTTTTCTCCTTTGTCTCATCTTTGCTGTTTATTCCTTGAGTTCAGTTTCTTTCCATTTTACTGTATCTACTCTACCTTTCAGGTTTTATTTTTTCTTTCAGGTTCTTACACTAGGGAGATAATACAAAATTTACACATGTGGATCTGATTTATTTCACTTAAGAGTAAGCCTCTAGTTGCATCACCTTAGCTTTTACAGGTATCAACTTACCTGTAAAAGCTTCTAGTTTGTGTTTCTTTATAGCTGAGTAGTACTCCATTGTAGAAATATTTAAATGGCAATGGAATACCCACCTCTGACAAAACTAAACAAAAGGGAAATAAATGAAGGACCATTTTGTATCTGTATATACAAAATAGGATAGATATACAGCTCTTTTCTCTTAATTCAGTGAGAAGAAAGATTTGTACTAATGGTGTTTGGACAGGATATCATGTCTGCATCTTGTACTGTGGATAACTACTACGAGGACAACTATGCAATGTATTAATTATTGTAACTGTCCCATTAACCTGTTTTGAAACTGTTTCATTGGTATTTATTTCTCAAAAAAATAAAAAACACATCATTTTCATCCATTTCTCAAGTTGCTGTTCTTTAAAAAAAAATCTCTTTTGTTAGATAATTTGATTTTTTCTCACAATGTATTTGTTCGGTATATAAAATTCCTTATGGTTTAGCTCAATCACACATTTTAGTATATTATTGTTAATCTTTTACTTTACAACATTTTCTACTTTCCATTGTAATGTGTTCTTTGACACATTCTGTTTCTTTCAGAAGCACTTTCTTTGATTTTCAGACATTGGGAATGAATAACCTTCATTAGTTACTACTGTGTTAATATTGTTACAGTTAGCCTTTAAGAGGAAGACTATTTTCTCCCAGGAATGTAGATGTGGCTTAGTTGGGCCTTTTCCTTGGAGCTCATTTAAGGATAATGGAGGAAGGTGTTGGCCAGGGCTGCAGGTGCTTCTCCTTCTTTCATGTTTGAGCGGGGAAGGGCGTGCTTCCAGGCTCCAGGATGTCGGCCGGGTTCCTTCCCTGTGCGTCTTTGAACAGCAGCCTCATTCATTGGGAGCTGTTGGCTGGGGCCCCTTGCTGTGTACCTGGTTTTGTCTCATAATCTGTGTGACTGTTAATAGCTCTGGTTAGCTTCTTGAATCTCACTTGTGAAGAGTGAATGCTTCAGTGACAAAATTCATGCTGAGTGTCTTCTATGTGCTCTTGTTTAGGATCTGGACCTCTGCCTTGGGGTTATTTAGGTTTGCATTGCTCCAACAAAAATTACCTGAGATGATCGATTTTAAGGAAGAAACGTACTTTGGCACATGGTTTTGGTTCATGGTTTGTTCGCCCTCTTCTTTTGGTGTTTGGTGAGGCACAGCAGAGTGCAGGAGTGTGTAGTGGAAGAAACTCCCCACTTCTGGCAGCTGGGAGCATAGAGAGATGGAAAGTGCTGGGGTCCCAGCATCTTTTGTCCAGGCAGGTGCCTGGGGCCTAGCTTCCTTTCTCTGAGCTCCACCACTTAAAGGTTCCACCACTTTCCAACCCAGTGTTGCCATGGGATTAGGACAGAGACTTTAACATGTGGGCCTCTAAAAAACACCAAACTGTAGGATTTGGTAACTTTGCTTTTATTTAGAGTTTTTAATTGGTTTTATTGGCTGGCTAGTCTGATAGCGGTTAATCTGATGTTGCTTGAAGGATAAACTTGAGCTGTTAGATTTTTTAGTGGTACTTCATTGTGTATCCTGTCAAAAGATGAAACTTAAATATTCTTTTCTCCTCAGCATAACAAACAGTAGCAGTTTTGAGCTGTGATTAGTCGCAGATGTTATGTGTATTTATATTCATTGTTAGTGTTCATCTTTTACAGGTTGCTTAGCCAAACAATGAAGGATCATCTAGTGAGAGTAGCAAATGAAGCTGAATTTATTCTGAGCAGACAGAGAGCTGAGGATATTCACAGACATGCGGAGTTTGAGGTAAGTTGTGCGTGTGGCTTGTGTGAAAAAATTACTGTATTTAATGGAAATTATAGAAAATTGCCCATGAGAAGGGACAGTATGACTTAAGGAAGCATGTCACACATCATTATAAATGTTACATATCACCAAATATTTAAAGATTAAGTTTTTGACAGAGTCATGGGAGATTTAAGGAAAATACTACACATTGCTTTGGTCCTTTCATCTCAACTCCAGCTCAATTGCCAGTAGCTCAGAGCAGTTTTTGTGGTTGGCCTGATTTTAATAATGGGAGCTGAGGTGTTGGTTGTGATGGTTTTCCAAAAGAGAAAATTAGCAGAAGACATTTTGCCCCTGGGCACGATTCAAAAATGATTATTTATTTTAGTGGCAAAGATGAGGTCTTCCAGGTTTCTAGAGAGTTTCAGAATGCAGTCTCTCTGCCCTTTAGTTTAGAGAGCCTAGTAGTCCTTGTAGCTCAGGTTATAATGGAGCACACATCTCTATTCTTTGCCTCATGGGGATCAGGGTGGCAAACCTTCCAGAGACCTCTGCTTCTCTCAGAAGTAGCTTCTGAAAATGTCAGTGGTGTGAGTTCTTAGTGGAGATTAGTGGTTTCCTGGCTATGTAAATGACCAAAATTCACCAAAGGTGAACTGGACTATTTAAAAAAAAAAAAAAAGCATTTACTATAGAATTGGAAAAGAAATTTAAAAAGTACTGTATAGGTTGTTTTTTTCTAATACATGGTGTAAGAGTGGATAAATTCATGTTGATGGTATTTTTCTGGTATTTTACAAAGGATGAATGGCACTTCAGTGCATCTTATATAACAACCATAACCTGAAAATGGTGCTAGAAAAATAAAATGCCAGAGGAATTTCATTTAATAACACAGATACAAAGTTTTAGTTAAAATTTTAGCTAAAATAAGTCATCATTGGAATGAGAAAAATATATAATACGACTATTAGAATTTTTTCCTAGACAGTTTTAAATAAAATTTTAGTGATTATAAGCTGTCAATGGAAAAAGAATGAAAGAATAGTGCAGTGTGTCTACTGAGACTATTTCCTGGAATTAGAAAATAGTTTATTATTTGTTGTCTAGCATCAAATAACTTTTATCAACAAGTTAAAAATAGAGGGGCGGGATAGGGAAAAAAAACCAGAAGAGTGAATCTTATCTATAAAAATGATAAATTTTAGCAGTTGGGCCTGATAAAACTGAGAACAATACTTACAAACAATGAAATAATCTATACTGCAAAAGAGAAAGAAATAGCTAAATGGGAATGAAAAACTGGAATGAGGAAAAGGACAAAAGGAAGAAGGGAAAAAGATATACTTAGATATATGTGCAGAATGGTTTGGATAATTGTATTGTTTTCCTTTTTTTTTTTTTTTTTTTTATTTGTGTGTGTGTGTGTGTGTTTGTTTTGGCAGAACTGGGGATTGAACTAAGGCCCTTGCACTTGCCAGGGAAGCGCTTATTCTACTGAGCCATCTCCCTGGCCTGTATTGTTGATTTCTGATGGTCTTTTAAAAGGAGCAATTAAGCTTAAAAAAAATTTTAGTACTCTGATTTTTTTCTTTCCTCTTTTGAGTTTTTAAATAACTTCTTAATTTTTTTTTCCTCTAAACGAATCTTATACATTTGTATTTGGCAATCTGAACAACTAATTTGAAGATAGCATCTTGTAATATAGCCACCATTATTGAATTCCTTTTACTTTGTTTAGTGAACTTTTGTATTGTTTCTAATGCTTTTTTTTCTATCACTATTTTATATTCTTTAAAAATAAAAAAAATAAAAAAAATCTAAATATGATAGAGTATTAAACATTATTTTAAATTGAAGCTATTTCTGCTAAATTTTTGAAAGAGTGTTACCTGCTGTCATTTAACAAAGCTTTATGTTCTTGCTTGTGCAAGACTTAGTTAATATATATGCTGGGAAGAAAGAAGAAGATATATTTTAATTCCTAATGCTATGGACTGGGAAAATTTAAGAGATTTTTGGACATTTTCTGCCAGAATCAATAATAGCATTTTGTGAGATTGTTGGATATAAGATAAATATTCAAAACCCTAATAGATTTTCTTTTGACTAAGATGGAAATTGGAGTACAGTACAATCCTAGATATAACAGAAACAATGTGTTGGACAAACTCTAGAAGAAAAGCACAGATACTTTTGGAGCAAAACTAAGATTTTATTGAAGCAAAATATAAACTCATGCATAGTAATTTCATGATGAATAATATACCTTGATGTGTATGCATGTATGTGTGAAGGAGGCAGAAAGACAGACAAAGGGGGAGAGACTGAGACAGGAAGTGAGTATATATGGAAATAATTTGACACATTCAGAAGGTTGCAAGAAAATAGAAGTCCTGCTCACCATTGTTCCATATCCTGATTGATAAAATTTTGCTACATCTGTTCTCTCCTCCTTTTTCTATAATTTGATAGTTAAGTTAAAGTCAGGATAATTCTTTAACCTAAAATACTTTAATGGAAATTGCTTAAGTGCATTCTGTATCTTAATTTGGCACAGTTATCCATATCAGAAAATGAACGCTTGTTCAGTACTGTCATTTAATCTAAAACTATTATTCAGATATTCCAGTTGTCTCCATAGTCTTTTACAGTGAAATAGGAAATTTTTTTTAACCTATTTAGTACAGGGTCTCACGATACAGATTAGACTCTTAGTGATCCTCCTGTTTTGAGCCTCCCAAGCACTAGAATTATAGGCATGCATGCCTCCAAGACCAGTCTCAGTTGCCATTGTAGCGCACCCCTAGGGTGGGGCCTGCACTGTGTGCCGCAGATGGAACCCCAGTATCTGCATGTGCCAATGCAGGTGCTTTAATCCACTGTGCGATCTGGCTGGTGGAAATAGGAAATTCTTTTTTTATTTCTTTCTTTTTTCCTTTTTCTATATTTAGGATAAGGTCTATAAGGTCTGACTATGTAGATTGGACTCCTAGTGATTCTCTTGTTTTCAGCCTCCCAAGTGCGGGGATTACAGGCATGCACCACCACTCCCAGTCTCAATCGCCATCTCAGTGTGCCCTGGGGGTGGGACCAGCATGGCAGGCAGAGGATAGACCCCCCTCCCTCCCCCCCGCTGTGCTCTGCCTAAACAGGTGCTTTAGTCCACTGAGCTATCCGGTCTGTCCTGCCCTGAAATAGAAAATTCTGATGTTTTAAAAATATCAGTTATTTTCAAGTTAGTATACAAGTTCAGTGCAGTATTCAAATATACTTTCTCAGTAGAATAATGATAGTGTTAACTTGGAATTTAAATATTGCCTATAACAATCCTGGGCAACAAAGGAAAGGCAGGAGGTATTATACTACATAACTTGAAATTATACTACAAACCACTGTGATAAAATTAACATAGTACTGGCAAAGGAATGGACCCGAGGATCAGTGTAACTGATTAGAAGATGCAGACACAACTACAAACATGCTCAGCCCCCTTATCTTTGAAAAAGGGGCCAAACATGTTCCCTTAAAGAATGATAGCCTCTTTAATAAGTGGCACTGTAAAAACTAGCATCCCCTATGCTAAGGCCTAAAATTAGACCCATGCCTATCATAATGCACAAAACTACAGTCAAAATGGATTAAGAGCTAAACATTAAAACAGAAACACTGAATCTATGAGAAGAGAAAGAAAGTGGAAATCTTGAAGACTTAGGGGTAGGCAGAGAGTTCATGAACAAAAACCAAACTACAGGGGAAATACTTGAAAGAATTAACAACTGGGACCTCCTCTTATTGAGAAGTTTTTGCACATCAAAAGAAAGCACCAACAGAGTGAAAGGACAACCCACAAATTGGGAAAAAAACCTTAACCAACAATCACTCAAAGAACTTTTATCTAGAATATATACATTAACTAAAAAACATCAGGCCCCCAAAATTCAAAGAGCCAATCAAAAAATGCTTATTTGAGATGAACACACACTTCTAGGAGGAAGAAATATGAATGACAAATAAATACATGAAAAAATGTTCCACATCACTGGTCATTTGAGAAATACAAATTAAAACAACATTGAGATACCATTTCATCCCAGAAAGAATGGCTATCATAAAGAAATCAACTAATAACAATTGCTGGAGAGTCTGTGGTGAAAAAGGAACCCTTCTCCACTGTTTGTGGTAATGTACACTGCTACAACCGTTATAGATGTCAGTGTGGAGAGTCCTTAAAAACTAAGACTGGAAATCCCATTTGACAGAGCTCTTCTGGGTGTTTTTCCAAAAGAACTGATAACATCAGACCACCATTATATATGTGCACTCATATTCATAGCACTATTATTTTTTGTAGCAGTTTTGGAAACAACCAAAATACTCATCACCTGAGGGATGGATAAAAAAGATGTGGTACTTTTATACAATGGAGTATTACTAAGCTATAATGAAAGCCAAACTTGAGGCCTGTATAGGTAAATAGATGCAATAAGAGGCAATACTTGTATGTCGAATAAATCAGACCCACATGTGTAAATATTGTAGCGTCTCTCTAGTGTAAGAACCTGAAAGAATAACTAAAACCTGAAAGGTAGAGTAGATATAGTGAAACAAAGAAACTGAACATAAGGAATAAACAACAAAGATGGAAAAAAAGGAAGGGGGAAAATCAGGCAAGTATATACACGGGAGAGCTGACATGATTGTGTTACTAATTCGATCAGTTTTTTGAAAATAGCAGTTAATGTTTAAAGTTTTTACTTTGACTAACTATACTAATATCTGAGCACCTTCATCGAAGACAGCAGTGTGCGGTATAAAAACCATGGATGAGTACCTTTTATTTTGTTCTTCTAAATGTGCACCATTTCTAATGTCTTATCAATTATGATTATACTCTCTAAAATAAATTAAAAAGTAAAACTGATAAGATAAAAGCAGAAAAATCATATTGATTTGATCAATTCCTCAGATTCTTATTTGAAAGCTTCTAGCCTATTCTAAGTTCATAAATTGTATGT